TCAGCTCGAGAGAAATGTCTGGAGCGTACACTGCACTTTACAAGATTAATTTTAAGAATGGTATTGAATCATATTTACAATCTCACAATGTCTGAATTCTGAATACATTAGAATGAAACTCATGAGAATGAAGAAAAAAGCATCAAAATTAACGTTTTAATATCGCTAGATGAGTCAGTACGCAGTAAAGCTGGATGGAAAGTTATATGATTAATAAAGTTAATAAATAATAATAATAATAAGGCTTAGCGAACCCGAAGGTTCGATGCCGACACCACCAATCGCTTGTTACACACCTCCCTCCACCGTTCGCCGTCCAAACCCAGTCCCTTCAGATCGGCTTTAATGCAATCTTCCCATCTTCGCTTCGGTCTACCCCTCGGACGCTTACCATTCGGCACAGCAAATATTAACCTTTTAGGAATTCTCTCGTTACTAAGCCCAACAACTTTAAAAGCCCATTTGATTCGCCGCGATGAAATTACCTCAATTATATTACCCGGATACATCTCACGCAATTCGGCGTTGTGTAACCGTCTGAACTCTCCAGTTAACTCATCCTTTTTCGGTCCGAATATTCTACGCAATACTTTATTTTCAAAAACCTTAAGACGCTGCTCATCCCTTAATGTAAGCGGCCAAGTTTCGCATCCATAAAGAACTGTAGGTAAGATAATTGTTTTATAGATTCTAATTTTTAAGTTTCGGGACAAGAGGCGCGAACTAAGTAGTTTTGTCACAGAAAAATAACAAGCATTCCCCGCCTTCAGTCTAACCTTAATCTCTTCTTCAATTTCGTTTTTTCTAGTTATCGTAGAACCTAGATACCTAAATTTATCTACCTGTTCAAACATATTACCATCTATATCGATATCACCAGTAGTATCGCCATTTTTGCAGCTAACCATATATTTTGTTTTATCCACGTTTATTTCGAGTCCTAGTTCTTTCCCGGCTTTCATTAACGTTGTCGTATTTAGTTTTATAGTTTCAACGTCTTCGCTTAACAGTACCAGATCATCAGCATAGCCCAGCACGGATGTTGTCCCGCCCAGATCCAACCCTTTCTCGGTACGCATTACCTCCCTAATGGCATGTTCTAATGCCAAATTGAACAGGACAGGCGAAAGAGAATCCCCCTGTTTTAAGCCCGAACGAACCTCAAATTTTTCGGACAAATTATTACCGATTCTAACTTTATTGAGTGTCTCCGTCAAGCACATCCTGACTAGATTTACTAGTTTTTTTGGAATCCCCTGCTCGATTAGAATATTATACAGTTTCTGGCGGTCAATAGAATCGTAAGCCTTTTTAAAATCTATATACAGCTGGTGAACAATACCGTTATACTCCAATTTTTTCTCTAATATTTGCCGTAAAGAAAATATTTGATCAATAGTCGAGCGATTCCGTCTAAATCCGCATTGGTAGTCTCCGATAATTTCCTCGGCGTATTCCGTGATTCGACTGGTTAAGATTAAAGTGAATATTTTATAACATACCGGAAGGAGTGAAATTCCTCGATAGTTATTACAATCCGTCCTCGGACCCTTTTTGTGAATCGGAATAAGAATAGATTCTTTCCATTCTTCAGGTAATTTCTCGTTCACCCAGATCTTTTTAACCAACCGATGTATTTTAGAAACTCCAGCTTCTCCGCATGCCTTAATTAGTTCAGTAGGAATATTATCGATTCCCGCTGCTTTATATGATTTTAATTTTCCGATAGCTACCTCAACTTCCTCTTTACTTGGTCCTTCTATTAACGGTTCAGCACTCTGGTACTCAGAAGGAGGACACAGATCATAATTTCCCGTATTTAAAATACTGTCAAAGTGGTCCTTAAACTTATTCAATATGTCAGCCGGATCGGTCAGAATATTGTTATTATCATCCCTAATTCCAGACGTTACGGGCCCTACATATTTACGTGATCTGTTTATACCTTTGTACATGTCTCTTACGTTATTTTCGATTCTATTAGTTTCTATTTCAATTATTTTATTTTTAAGATACTCCCTTTTTTTATTTTTGAGCAATTTTGTCGTTTCGTTCTTTGAGATTCGGAAGTATTCCAGATTGTCTTCGCTAGGATTATTTAGAGCTTTTAATTTAGCGGCTTTTCTTTTTTCACACATGTTTAAGCAATCTTCATCAAACCACGGTTTGTTATTCTTATTTTCCTTTTTTCCTAGGCACGAGTTACCGACCGCTTTAATATTATCTCTGATCTCTATCCATAACTTGTCAATATCCTCGTGGTCCTCGTCAGGAAGCTCTAAAGCTTCAAATCTATTCTTAACATCTAGCTCGAATTGGTTTCTAATTGACGGATTTTTTAATTTTTCCAAATTAAAATTCTCAAAATCGAAACGGTTTTCTTTTCTCTTTTTTATATTAAGTTTTTGTCGAAGTTTCGCGATTACTAATTCATGGTCCGACCCACATTCTGCTCCGCGATAAGACCGTACATTAATTATACTGCTTTGCCAGCTCTGTTGTATCAAGACATGATCGATTTGATTTCGTGTTTGCGAATCCGGTGATGTCCAAGTATATTTATGAATATCCTTATGTTTAAACGTCGTACTTTTAATTATCAGGTTTTTCGAGATGGCAAAGTTTATCAGACGGATCCCATTATCATTACTATATTCGTGCAAACTTTCTTTACCAATCGTCGGAATATAAACTTCTTCCCTTCCTACCTTTGCGTTCGCGTCACCTACAATTATTTTCATGTAGTTTCGTGGTAGTTTATCATAAACCCATTCGAGTTTATCGTAAAATTCACTTTTGACTTCATCGTCACTGTCTTCGGTCGGACAATGTATGTTTATTAATGCGATTTTAAACCAACGTCCCTGAAATGTAGCTACCGAAATTCTATCACTAAAGAATTGTACGTCCCTCAAAGCGGATAGTAACCTACTCCTAATTAGAAAACCGGTACCCAAACAATGATTCCCGCTTCCTCCATACCAAATAGTGTACTTTCCTTCCCTCATCGAGCCCTCCCCTGGCCAGCGAACCTCTTGCAGAGCCACGACATCCAAATTGTACCCATTTACCTCATTCGCGACCGATTTTAGCCCCCCTGCTGTGTTTAAACTCCTTACGTTCCACGTACCAATATTCAAATCCCTATATTTCAACTTGCACCATGAATCCCCTAAAGCAGTCCCCACCCGGAGACCCGAACGGGGGACTAGTTTACCTCCGGATAATGAGCGTTTTACCTTAGGGAGATCCATGACTTTTTGTGGTGTTTGGTGAACTAAAGATATGTGAGTAGGGCGTTCAATCCTACGTCACACCCTCCAGCAAGTCTGGTGGGCCCCTACCTCCAGCAAGTCTGGAGGTCCCCTCCCTCCAGCAAGTCTGGAGGGCCCCTCTCATTGTTGGTCAGCGAGTCCATCGGACTTAGCCGGGAGGAACTTCCAAGAAATTTCCACCGACCATCCCCACATCCGCCACCCGTGGGACGCTCCCCATACGCGGTAATGAGCCCGCGCGAGGTAATAAAGTTAAAGATTGTAATTATATTATTCTTTTTGGTATTGATGATTGTGATACATTCTTCATACTACCTATCATGATCGCACAAATATATGTAAAAGTGAATCGCTCACTTTTAATTTTAAATAGTGGTAGATCATTGTTTTGATGTTTGATCATAAATCAAGAGCAATTGTTTTATTTAACATATGTTCTTTAAGCACATAGTAGGAGATCACAAGACTGTGAGGTTATTCAGTTTAGATGAATTTATTTTGTATTCCGGTTAGTCTAAAGCAGTATAGTCTAATAATTTAATAATAATCTCTAGTCTAATAACCTCTCGCCCAATCTCCACTGGGTTTAGCCCCAGTGACGCGGTTGAGAGAGAAGTGCAGGAATCTCCTGGAGTCATGCTTTTCCCTCAACAGTTGGAGGGACAAGTCTGGCTCGGAGTTCTCTCGCCTGTGTGTAAATATTGTATATATGTATGTATGTGTTCTTTTTTATTTATTTATTTTCGGTTATTTTATACTTATTTATTGTATATATACTATTGTTATTGTACATAGAGTGTGAGTGTGATCTCTAAACACTATTATAAATGTATTTTGAGACAGATTGTAATATTTTCAATAAAAAAAAATATATAAAATTGATAAATATGATTCATTAATAATTAATTTTTGTGATGTTAAATAAAATTTTTCTTCATGGATAAAACGGTCTAAAGTTTTTCCAAGCAATCTACCACCTCATTATATATGTATATATAATGTTTGAACGGGCATTTAACAACCGTTCAACATTCATTGTTTATTGAATGGTTGAAGAATTATTATTTTCTCAAGGTTATATATTAATATCATAATATGCTCATGATCTATATATAGATTAGATGTATAGGTCTCAACAATACTATACTAACAATAAAAAATTTATGATGTCTTAAAAATAGCGGCGTTGCCTTTTTGAAGGCTAAACTGATCCAGCTATCTATATTTTGCCTCTTTTTGTGACGAAGTTACAAAAATACCTACCTAATTTCGTGTCAGCTAATATAGACAACCGTTCTTACTGAAAAAGAAATCATTACGACTTAATCCTTGAAGATCTAAAATATTTTAGAAATTCTAAATAAATAAATCAGTCTTTAAACATTCGATAAAGGTGCTAGGAAGTGTGAGCAGCATTATGTCAAAACTATCGCATTTATTGCCTAATGAGTATCAGTTGTCTATTTTGACATTGTATCAATGAAGCCTTTTGTCAAATCATTGTCCTCGTCCTGACAAAGTTAAATTAATTTTCGTACTAGATACGTTTACAAACAGGGAACCACTTTAAAAATAAATAAATTAAATATTTCTAACAAGCGACTTCAAAAAAATTAAGAATTATTATTTATTAGATCTTACAAGGTTAAGGTATGACTAATATTGAGTAAAATATAATTAAAATAGGACGGAATGGGATTGATAAATAATTTTTATATTTACTCACTATTTTTGTAGAAAAACTGAGAAGAAATCAAACAATTCACCTGGAAAAGAGAAAAATGAATTATTAATATAGTATTAATTAAATATAAACATATCAATATAAACTTTAATATTTAAGTGATAATGTTTGAGTAGTTAACTTGAGATTACTACAGCATTAATAAATTATTTCTTAAGGCCTATATGCGGTCAGTGGCGTATTTACTATAGGCGGACTAGTCTCTCTCAATCCCTCCTCTCCTGAGAGAGACTAGTCCGCCTCACGTTTCAACGATAAGTATTTTTGTTTTAATGAGACAAGAACGTTATTGAAAAATTGTCGTGTTTTTTTATTTAAAATATTTTATATTCATTTATTAAAAGTATTAGTCCGTGGTACAGACCTCTTTTTATCGAATTATTAACATCCGCCTGAAACTTCATAAATAGTTTCATCTCATCGTAACCTACAACTATTTAATTTACGAAAACTTTTGGAATTGGGTAGTTTTCAATCTGGAGGGGAGCAAACTTCGTAGCAATCTCGTAGTAAAAACTCCTAAATACACATTTGATTTCTACTTGAATCGTTTGAAGATAATTTGATCACAAAATCTTGAAAAAAGCTGGCCTTCAAAAATATTGACCCGTTTGGCGTGACATACACCCCAAAAAATTTTATTTAAAAAAAATTATTTTGATTTTTGTTGAAACATAGGTTTTTTTTAGATTGAATTAAATTTATCATGGTAAAAAAAATGGAGGCATTGTTTATTAAAAAATAAAATAAATATATGCTAATAGATATGCCTTATGTGACGGATGTCATAACAGAACAGTACAGCTGTAAAAATAACAGTGATAAATTTTTCAATGTATTGGTAAAATAATCTAATTTTTTTTTAAAAAAAGAACGGCGTTATTATCTTAAAAAAATGTACGTTTACCCATGTGAATGTTTTCCCTAACATTGTAATCAGAACAATTAATTCGTCACACAATGATGTTTGTCGGTTTGATAAGATATGATGGAATTAGGAAAAAATATTAAATACCACATTTATGGAGTTGAATTAATGGAAATGGTAATTCATTTTAAAATTAATTAACTACAATAATATTCTCGACCGCTCAACACTTTTAGTAGAGCAGATTGTTACCCCCACCCCTCCCCCCAAAATCTGCGTCTATGGTTACTTTCCTTGTAAGCCCAACGAAAAATATTTTAATTAAAATCCCGACTTGTTTAAGAAACTTGAACCTATAAAAACACAGAGAATATTGGCGATTCTAAGAACTAAGATATTTTTAACCTTTTGTATGAATACAATGCATCCCTTCGGCAATGAGTAAGCAAAAAATAAATAAATATTTATTTGAAAATAAATTAAATTACATTAATGGCCTTTTCACAAATTAGCTTAATCCATGAAATGTATTATAAGAAGGGATTTCTTCTTAAGCCTGTTTACTTAAAAAGAGCAATTAATATGATGAAAGCAGACGGTGAACTTGGAATGAAGATAAGCCGGCCGGAGAGAGCGAAGCTAAGCCTCCTGGACTTAACAGGAATCCCCTGATACCCACTTTGTCCCTCCCACTCCAGGATTTGGACACCAGCTCCTTTTCCACTGGATTCTAAGAGATTCCGGCTAAGACTACTCCATTATACTCTCTTCTCTTCCGATAAAACACTCCTGAGTTGAGATTTATATTATAAAACAATCAAAAATAAGATTTTAAATATTATTCTCCTTTATTAATAACTAGCTGATGTACCCATCGTTGACGGGTGTATAGTTAAAATTAGAGAATCCTTTTTTGAGATGGATTTTGTATTATGGAGGGGGGGGGGGAGAGAGGGCCCAAATTCAATTTCATAAAATTACATTTGTTACAACATTTGTTAGGCTCGGGAAGTTGAACCGAATGACGCCTTGGACGGGAAGATCGGACAAAGTTGAAAAATAAGTGTGGTTTACCCGTTTTATGCGACAACGCGTTCCAGATGTTCGGTATTCCGGATTTTTCCCGTTGAGTTGTGATTATTTTTTTTTCCATCAGCTTAGTAGTACAACTTTAAAATGTGGCTAGCGGTAGAGTAGGTTGGGATGAGAATCGAAGTAAGTAAATGCCTCACCGGTATCTCTAGACAAATTACTCAAGAATTCATAACTTTGATTCTACTCCATATTTTGTTTTCATTTGAAGCCCATTATTTAAGTCAAGCAAACCTTAATATAATGTAAAATATTCCAATGTCTACAATTAGCCATTGCCGAGCTTACCCCTGACAAAATTTCGTTGGACAATGCGGACATCCAGGCAGACAAAATATTTTTTAAAAGTGGATTTGATGTCTGTAATGTATAAAACCGAAAGATATAATGGAACGGGTTGATTCTATTCAATGTACAGACAAAACCTTTATTTTATTTATATAGATGTTCTTTAACCTATAAACATATGTTTATTATTAACATTTTTTTTTATTTGCTATTATTTAACGTCGCATCGACTGCCAAGGTCATTAGCGACGATCGTTCTTCTTAAATATAACTTATCAATTTTATTTTTCGGATGTACTTCAGCGTTTTTTAAATACCAGTGTTTTTCTTGTACGGTGCCTTGTCTTCAATTTGGAGTTCGATTTGCTGTTTCCGGAACTTTTTGCACTGGAATATGTGTTCAACTGTCAGGTTAGCATTTTCACATACCTCACACGTTGGTCGATGTAAGCCAAGAAGTAGGTGGAGATGGGTCAGTTTGGTATGTCCAATCCTGAGCCTGCTTATTATAGAACACTCTTTTGATGTCAGGTGTTTTGGAGGATACCAAGCTCGATTGTCGTCTTCGGTCAGATGAAGGTGATTGCGCGGCAGTAATCTCCACTGTGCATTCCAACTGTCGTTCACTTTCTTTGAAATTTCTCTTCTCCATCGTTGAGAAACATCGATCCTAAAACAGGTGAATCTGTGCTTCTGGCGGCTTCCTTTGCTCCCTCATCGGCTCGTTCATTGCCAATTATGCCAATGTGTGAGGGTACCCAAAACAATGTTATTTTTTGACTTTTTTTATTTATTTTCAAGTTCATTAGCTGAATTTTTTTGTGCAATGTGTTACATGTCCATGCATTTTGCAGTCTCTTGATTACAGATAAGGAATCGGCCACAATTACAGATTTCTCAATATATATGTTAATAAATATTATTAACATTTATTATCAACATTAACCGAGATCTTTAGACAAATTAATCAAGAATTCATAACTTTGATTCTACTCAATATTTTATTTTCATTTAAAGCCTAATTTTTAAGTCAAGCAAACCTTAATATAATGTAAAAATTTTCAAAGTCTACAAAAAGCCATTGATAAGCTTACCCTTGACAAAATTTCGTTGCAATGCGGACGTAGAGACAGACAAAAAAAATTGGTTTTGGTGTCTACAATGTATGAAACAGAAAGATATCATAAAATGGGTTGATTCTATTCCATGTACAGACAAAATCTTTATTTTATTTATATAGATACTTATCTTTATATATTATTTCTCAAACATTTTTGAAGTGAAAATTACTTTAGGCGCGTTTTTCACTTTTTTTTTTGTGGAGAGTAAATTAGATTTCGCCGTTATATCTCCGATGTGTAACGTTGACTGGAATCGACTAATTGAAGTGTTTTTTCATATGGTTTAAAATCCCTCAAAAACTAAAAATCGGATCTGTGTATTGTTAGCGAAGGAAATGCTCGGCTCCATCCTCACTGTAATGGAGAATTATTCAAAATTGTATCTTTATGCGACTTCGTGGAATTGGGGGGTTTTCAATCTGAAGATCGCTATTTTATTACATTGTCTATTTTATTAGGTACTAAAAAAAAACACGTAAATATATATTTGCTACCACTGGCATCGTATGAAAATTTGATAGAGGAAAAAGGTGGCATACAAAAATATTGGTCCATTCCAACTTGATAGCCGCGTTATTTTGACATTTTGAGGATTTAGGTCACCCAAACAGCTCTATATTTTTGAAGGCCACCTTTTATCTGGTTTTTGTGCTCAAATTATCTTACGATTGAAGTGGAAAGCAAATATTTACGAATTTTTAGTACCTAATTAAATAGACAAAGTTTTCCGATCTGCAGATTGAAAACTCCCTAATTCCGAGAATTTTCATAAATAAAATAGTTGTAGGTTTACGATAAGATAAAGCTATTTACAAATTTTGAGGCGGATGTTAATAATTTGGTACCACGGGCTATTATTGTTGACAATTTACCGGGATATATCCACGCCTGATGATAAAGTTTGTTGGTTTGTAAACTTATATTTGTGGGAAATTTAGATTTTTTTAAAAGATTTTTTTGAAATTCGACCGAGGCAGAGTCAAAGTATGTTCATTGATTGATGTAGTGAGGAACTTTATGTACTGAAAAATCTGTGTGGCCGAGAGAAAAGGAAAGAAGAAGAAAAAATAGATGAAAGTCAAGTATGATAAGCACTTGGTGAATTACAAAAATAATTTTTCATTGTTTTATACAATGATACATCTCATCGTGATCTACAACTATTTTATTTACGACAACTCTTGGAATTGGGGAGTTTTCAATCTGGAGATTGGCAAACTTTGTCTATTTAATGAGATACTAAAAACTCGATAATACCTATTTGCTTTCCACTTTGTTCGTAAGATAATTTGATCACAGAATCGAGAAAAAAGGTGGCCTACGAAAATATTGGCCGGTTGGCCCAAAATATAGCCTCTATATTTTGAAATTTTAGGGATATAAGTTACGTCAAACAGTTCAATATTGTTGTATGTCACCTTTTTTCTCAATTTTGTGATCAAATTATCTAAAGATTCAAGTGGAAAGAAAATGTGTATTTACGAGTTTTCAGTACCTAATTAAATTCACAAAGTTTGCCGAACTCCAGTTTGAAAACGCAAGCTATTTACAAAGTTTCAGGCGGATGTTAATAATGTGGTATCACGGACTATTATTTACCGGGATATATCCGCGCTTGTCGATGAAGTTTGTTGATTTGTAAACTTATATATG